CTCTCTCTCTCTCTCTCTCTCTCTCTCTCTCTCTCTCTCTCTCTCTCTCTCTCTCTCTCTCTCTCTCTCTCTCTCTCTCTCTCTCTCGCATGCGCTTTTGTGCAGCGTGCATCCACCTACTGGCCCGTGTGCTTTGTGACGCGCTGCGACTTGTCATTCGCGCGTCGTGTGCGGCGCGTTCCGGAGTTATTTGTGTTTCATTGTGATGCGAGTTCATTCTCCTTCTCGCTACAGCTCCGTGTGCCAATGAATGGACTACTTGCGCGTTCCGCGACTGTATATCGCTCAGCTTGTCATCATCGTAGAAAAGATTGTTATCGTGGATCGAGTGTCGGGATACTAGAGTTACTTGGCGGATAATAGTGGCTCGACGTTAATCTCGCGTTAATTTACGTCGTGCGTAGCGAGCAGACGTTCGAGCTTTACCTTCGATCGAGCAACGCGCAATTATGTGTCGCCGTGCGATATAAATCAAGAGATTGTCAGACTTTAATTACGAAATGTCATTAGTGCTAATCGACGTTGTATGTTGCATGTGGTACGCGTTTCGCCGATCGAGAGAGAAATAGAGGGAGAGGGAGAGTTGACGTTCGCCAATTGGAACAATACGCCTTTCGCGATCTCTCGCAGCCTCCAATTAGGCTGATTCGTGGAAATTAATTGCGTTTCGATGGAGACGATGTGGGCGTCCCGATTATCTTCGCGATGGTATTTTCCTCGTTACGCCGGGTTAAAGCGCGCCCTAATTCGATTCGCTGCAGATGGGAACGTGTGTACGTGTGTATGTGTGTGTGTGTGTGTGTGTGTGTGTGTGTGTGTGTGTGTGTGTGTGTGTGTGTGTGTGTGTGTGTGTGTGTGTGTGTGTGTGTGTGTGTGTGTTGCGGGTGCACATAAATTACAGGATAATTTCCTGGGCAGAGGCCGGACCAAGAGCTGTTGAGAAAAAATTTAAGGTCTAACGAAAGAGAGCCGCTCGCTCACACGAGCGAAAGCGCATAATCGATTGCACCGCCAGTGCGCCGTATCCTCGATTGCCGCGAGTGTATCTATCTTGCGAGATATGAATCGCACGACCACACGTCGCGTCTAAATCAAATTTAAGTAAAGATAATGAGCATACACACCGTGTGATTTACACAGTCGTCGTTTAAGCCGCTCGAGAGTACATTAACAAACGGTACTTTCGCGAGCGTGAAAGTACAAACGCTCGTTCGTAACGTAACGTAACGTAACGTCGGATTCGCATTTGACTGCTGTTTGACTTGTATTCTTTAGTCGAATGGCCGAGTGCCACAGGTGCTGCGGCTCGTAACACCTGGCCCAGCGCCATAATTACCTCGAAGCTCGTCTCTTCGCGTCTATCTCTCTTCCTCGTTTAAATAAAATATTAGAATTGGCGGGTTAGGCATTTTTGCGCGGGCCGCGAGTTGGAAGCCGCGATTATCGGCTCTCATATCGGCATGCACCTTTCGTTACCTCGTGCGGAATTTCGCGCGCTAATTTTAATTTCTGCCTGGCGACGATACAATTAGGGGCCATTCAAACAATTACGTCACGCGAAATCCATCTCTCTCTTTCATCAAATAAAGTTTTGAGCATCCTTCCAATATCCTTTCGCGACATTACCGGCTTTCGCCCTCACGTGAAATAAGAGAAAAATACTTAATAATTATATTGTGAGCAATAATTATTGGATCGATCTTTTTTTTAAGATACAAATAATTTTTAGGTACATGTCATATTAATTATTTGAATATTTCAATTAATAGCAGTTGTATCTTAAAGAAATTAAAATCCAATTAAAACTTTAATTATTAACGCAACAAATTAAAACAATTTTTTATAGAATTTAATATTTTTAGATATAAAAATTTAGATATGTAGATGACATTCTACGGTCTTTACTCCCCCATCCTCCGCTAGCATCACATCTGTCATGCATGTAACCCATCCCCTCGTGGTGTGACGTAATTGAATGGCCCCTTCACGTAGCTCGTGTGTTTCAAATGCCGCGTGTTCATCGTACTTGGGCGCGCGAGTCAATATCTTGCCGTAAATTTTACGCCGTCTATTCCGCGCGTGCCCGTTAACTCTATTTCGAGTCTCGAACTCTTAACCGTCGGTGCTATTTATTTTTAGTTAACTCCCTAAACGTTCGTTCTCGCGCAGCTAACGGCACACGTCTATTTCGGTTCGCGCGATTCTACTTGCACGCGTGACGAGAACGCTCTCGTGGTGGTAGCGACGGCGGCAGCGGCGGTCCTTCAAAGTGTCACGCTGCTCGTTTGCCGACGATAAGATTAAGCGTGTTTATGAGATCGTACGACTGAACTTTGTCCTGCCTCACCGCTGGTATCATATATGCGCTTTTATGCGACCACACCCCGATACCACGGAAAACAAAAGGAAGGAGGCAAAAGGAAGTGATCATGGTTTACAATCAACTCGAGCACCCAAGCACTTGTTCGTTAAAATATTTTATGCATCCACTGTATGTGTTGTAATGTTATAGTATTTACATCTATTTATGAGGGAAATACGGAAATAACGTTAATAAATAAATACATCCGCTCTAAAGACGCTCTGTGACATTACCGGGATCTGAATAACGCGGAATTGGCGAAATCCTCTTTGAGAATTCCTCGTGTGAGAAAGCTTGACGTACAATGTCGCGGTCAAGAGCCATCATTTTTCTAGCATTATGTCATATTCGTCGTTGCAATGCGTGATAAAAGTGTTGGAGCCGCCGTATTGCTGAGTGGTGGCCGACAGCTGACGATAGAACGATTATCGAACATGTAAGACGAAGAAGACGTGAAAGGATGATATATTTACGGTCTTTAATCTCGGCGATGGTAATCTCAACGTCACCGACAACTGCTGCTCCACCTAGCGCTCTGACGTTTCGCGTGCTTTTTTGCGCGTTTCAGGTAGCACGTCGTCTGTAGAGCAGAAGAACGGCAATGGCAACGTCAAGGGCAACAAGACGAACAATAACGGTGTCGAGGTGAACAGAAATGAGGACCAGAATGGCGGCGTCGACGCCAAGGGACAAGCAAAGAAGAAACCAAATGCTCCTGGGGGCGGGCCTCTGTTGCAACAGGCGTAAGAATGATTTTCAATTTTAATGCTTATAAACACAATCCTAGTGTTTGTCGATGATGTATCTTACGGTATGAATCAGCTTCGGTATTCCACCTCAAAAAAATCGCGTTGAGTTACACTGCCGATGTTATCTTGACTATTTGGGAGATAAACGGTATTTTATTCTAAAAAAAAAAAAATTACACGAGAACATTGTTATATTTGTAAATCCCAGTTATGTTAATTCTATGTGTCTGCGTATTATATCAGAGCGTTACGGTTTCACGAGTTTATCATTCGAGTCGAGTCGTTGATAGAAATTGCATTTTGCATTAACGTTAATGCAATTTAGAGAATCACGCCGACACTTGACTCAAATGGATTGCCACTTTGAGTATTAAATCATTCCGTCCCGGTAAACGGAAACTTGCATATGTGTAGGAAGATTATTTCACCAGCGTGCACACGCGTGATTCGAGTTCCAATAGTCTTGACGAACGTCGTGCTAATATGCATCCTATTTAACTTGAGCTCCTTCCATTCCAATTTGAATCCGCGGACGATATATCGAAACAACGACGTGCTTCAAGACATTTTTCTCGCAAAAATAATCATGTTAATTGTTTAGCTTTCGCCAAACGCGTAACTGATTACTGTTTATTGGTTACTTATGCGAGAACACAGTGGTAACGCATCGTGATAAGTTGGCGTGTACAGGCTTTCGTTCACGCTCAACTAGTGAGATTATTCTAAGCGCGAACGCGATTTATCGCATATAGTAATTGACCTTCTTATATATCTTGCATTTTTCAGAGAGGTATCCACCAGCCAGTTAGATTTCTTCAAGATGCTTGACGAGAAAATCGAGAATGTAAGTCGCCATACTTCAACTTAATCAGCTTTATCCGGAAAAGAATTGGCTTCTATTTACGAAAGAACGTGTAATTTCCTGTTTTCAATCCAACTACTTTGCGAAGAACAATAAGAGACCTTCCGTGGTTTTTTCTATGATTGGGAGTGCAAAGAGCCCAGGGATGACTATCTCCGATATCATATGCTATCTAAGAACGTATCTTTTACAAAAACTGTTGGTATTGTCGTACAATCGATACTGGATACTGTCATCAACTAAAAGAAACAAAGAAATACGATAACATATAACTAATTAATATAATTAATGTAATTGAATATCGTATACGAATCTAAAGCTAAACTAGACAAGCTTTCGATGTCACTGACGATTGCGCACCGTTTCTTGCAATAACTTTTCCTATTGAACGCGCTACGCTTTTTAAATCTATTTTTGTTGGAGGATCACACGATGTATATTGGAATATAGATTACTACTTTCTTTGTCACTTTTGTGTACAAAGAACCTTTATAAGCCGCGTCGGATCGATGGGCTTTTTGCCAAGCCTTTTTGCCCACGAGAAACAATTCGCTATAAATTTCGAGCGAGACGAAAGAATGTTTAGGATGTATTGAACAATATACATTACACCTTGGAATATAAGAGGAACTCGCTGATGACTTCCATATAATTCTTAACATGCGTATCTTTTCAATACGCAAGCTTAATTCAGCGAAACTCGATCGCAAAGTAGCATTCACTGAAATGACATTGTCGAGATAATGAAAAAGAGTTTGCATTATTTATATATCACGCGGCAAAATCCTTTGAAAATTTAATTAAACTTGCTCCGATTCTTGGTATGTCGCGAGATCGTTACGCTCCGCGGTTCTGCTCTTTAATCGAATAAATAACATCCACAACTTTCCATCTCTGTCGAATTTCAGGGCCCGGATTACGATGAGAGCCTCGACACGAGCAACAGAGCCGAACGTGTGTCCAGCCTGCTCCGGCGCTGGGAACTCGCCAGCGTCACCTGGTCCAGCGTCTCCGATTTGGACAACAC